TCCAGGGTCTCATTGGCTGTTTGCTGGCTGGACTGTCTGAACCGTCTCTTCCTGGTTTCCTAAATTCCCGAATTCCTGGATTCAGGCTGTTGGGCTACCTAGCCTCAGAGAGTCTATCTACTTCATCCTTTGATTTTTCTCCTCACAGAAGGTGGGAGGTTCTCCTGGCAAAGGTTAATGGTTGGACTCTCTGAGGAGCCCACATTTCAGCAGAGTTTATGCAGCATCAATAACTTGATCAAAATACACAGGAATCATTTGCTTAGTTTTCTGTTGGTTAATATCCGAGAAAGCAATGGGACTGCTGTGTGATCTTTCTAATTTAAAGAAAGTGGCCTGAAAATCAGATCAATGGTTTAGTAGGCTTCTCAGCATTGGCTGCTTTCTACATGTAATTGCATGTTTCATGGAAAGGTGATTTGCTCTGAAGTCTGTGTTGTTTCTGTATAGTAAGGATTACAGCTGGCCTCTGTCTCTGATCACTGGAGGTACTTCCTATTCTGTAGGGATTTCTCAAGTGATAGTTTTTGTTATTTGTTGTGGGCCCTCCGGATCACACCTGATATAGCTCATGGTAATGAAGTAATGTAGTAATGAAGAAACAGTGGACTCTGATATCATTTATACCAATGAGATAACTGAAGATACATGCTGCCCAGGCCAGAAAGACTACACTTGTCACTAGAAAATTGGGGCTTTGATCAGGAGAGGAAGAAACGGGTGACTGTATTCTCTCACATGGAACCCAACTGCAGTCACATGATGCAAGTCAACACATCTGTGTAACAAAACCCAGACCAAAAAACTCTACACATTAAAGCTTAAATGAGTTTCCCTGCTGAGCAGTATTCTTGCATGCATGCATTGCTACATACTGATACATGTAGAAAGTAATGCATCCCTAAGGACAATAGATGCTTCACAGTGGGACTCTGTGGACTTTGCATATGTCTCTTCATTCAGTGGTTTTGAATATTATCTTTTTGTTATAATAAGCAAAATGTTTTCCTGAGTTCTATGAATTATTCTAGCAAATTATTGAAACTGAAAGGAGGGTGAGGAGTTTGTAGCCAGCTGGCTAGAAGTGAGAGTAGTCTGGGGACCCCCAAAATTGCATCTGGTATCTAAACATAGACAGTTCTGTAGAGGATCTTAACCTGAAAAGTCTGGTCCAATTCTGGGTAGTAAGAATAAAAAAGGTAATGGACAAGAGGCCACCTGTGTATAAAGCTCAAGAAGCCTCTACAGATGTGCCTTCCATGTGTACTGTACACATTTTCCAGTAATTCCATGGGTACTTCTCTCTGTTCTCTCCATCCCCTTCTGGGCTGAAACAATCAATTCTGGAAGTCTACAGAGTCTTTGGAGATACCACTTATAGTTTTATTAGTGGCTCTCAGAGTGAGCAAAATATTGATCCATGGTGTAGACTCTGGAGCAGATGGCATAGGTTCAAATCTTGGCATCACCATTAACCATCCTTGGGACTCTGAGCGAGGAAAATTACTTAGGCTCTGTGTTTGTTTTCTGATCTGGAAAATGGCGATAATGACAAGCCTTGCCTCATTTGTTAAATGAGTAATTACACACAAAACACTTAAAAGTTGCCCAGAGCATGGGGAGATCTCCATCAATTATTATGATTATTATTCTCTATTGAGTTTTACCAGTCGAGGCAGTAATATGTTCTCTAAAGTGCTTGGGCTTTGGAGATGGATGGATCTGGGTTCCAAGGCCTGCCTCTGTCTCTGCCTGGCTGCCCAGCTTCTAGCAAGATGCTTGATTCTAAATGCCCACATTTCTCACCAATGTAGCAGAGCTACTGATATTTGTAGCATTTTTCTTAAACGTATTAAATGATGTCATTTTAAGCTCTTGGTCCATGAGAGATGCTCCATGAATGGTAGCTGTGGCCACCAGCTCTCCTGGCAGGTGCTTGCAACCTTTCAACAGTGCCTGGGGTCAGAGGAGGGATGACATCTTGCAAGGTATGAAGATAAGCTCAGTAATGGTATAGGTGAGCAGGTGTTTTGAGTTTCCAGTCCTGAAAAGAGACATCAAATTTGGGTGAGGTTGCTTAGGAAGATGTCTAGTGCCTCTTTGGTGGATGTTCCCATGGTACAGGAGGGGGCAGTGCTGGAAGCTCAGGGTTTATCACCAGGAAGGTAAAACCCATCGGAATTCTCTGTAATGGTGTTGTTATTCATATGCCACGCTGTTTATTTATTGAATAGGTATTTGACAGAAGTATACTCAGTAGAGCACATCAGCAGGGATGGTGTTTTACCAGCAAATAAATTAGAACCACAGAGTTAGTGAAAGCGTAACTAAGTACATGGCATAAATATGTCATTTGGCTGCTATGAATTTATTCATGTATAGGAATCCTTAATGCATCTCTATCAAATCTTTAAGTGAAATGTTCTCTTTCTATCAGGCTTGTATTTTAATTACAAACAGCGATAATATCCATGCATTGTGTAGGAGCTCTGAAGTCCAGCTAGAGATTTCAGAGCTAGCCCAGCATGGTTGAGCCCTTGGTGGCATGGCTGACCCCTCCTCTCCTTCCTTCTGTAGCCCAGCCTCTTTCTCCTCCAGCTGTAGAGGAAGATCAGAATGTGGCGGTGGGGGACAGAGCAGGGATTGTGAAGCAGGGGAGGAGAACACACTAAGGCTTAGGCAAGGCAAAGGCAGGGAAGGAGGTGCTGGGATCATCTAAGCCTGCCTCCATCCCTCTGCATGTCCAAAGCAAACATTTCCAGAGTGCCCTTGACTGGCACTTCAATTCCCCATTCCCTGCTGAGAAGGAGCTCTTTCTGAGGCTTGCATTAGAAAGGACAATCGCCCCTCCCACTGCCCTTTGCCTATTTTTTTTTCCCTTGTGAAGAAGAAAGGAGGAAAATGGAGTCTAAGAAAGGAAAGAAAGAGGCTGTCACAGGCCCATTCCCCAAGCATCAATCATGGGGGGGGGTTGGGGGGGGTGAGGAGGTGAGTCCTGGAGTCAGGATGGATGCAAGGTCCCAAGCTGCTTGTTGAAATGCTGAAAAGTTTCCATGTCTATTCAAATATTATTAATGTGATGGGAAAGAACTATTTCCCAAGCTTCCTTATAAATAATTTGTACCCCGAACACAGCTTCCCATGCCGTGTTCTCCCTTGCCTCCTTAACCCCACAAGTACCACACACATCTTTAATTGTATATTGTCGATGGTAACCTAGGATTATTATTCTGATCATATTGGAGGTTCACAAATGCCCAGATGTCAGAAATTCCTATGCTGAATACAGCATCTCTGATGTAAGTCTTCATAGCACTCATCTCAAAGGTTCCAGGGTAGAAGATACTGACTCCAGCCTCTCAGCATTCATGCCTCCCTGGTTTTCACTTCCAGATAAACTTGAGGGCTACCCAAGAAAGACATCTGCTTCAATCATTTTCCATTATCCGAACTCCTTTCTTTTGTGTGTAAGAAATAGTTAGAAAGCAAAATACCTTTTAGCAGTTGCTGGCATTTGCCTGGAACTCAAGGCCCAGTGGGTGATAGGAAGCAGAGAGTTGAGGAACAGACATCCTTTGTCACCTTGTAGATATCAGGTCAGCTTGTTCTGACCTTCTACACTGGCTCAGAGTTCTTTTCCCAGCAGATGACTGTATCTGTTTCAGTTTTTGACACTGGGAATGGCAAATATGCTTTTTTCATATTTTGTTTTGGCTGCAATGTGCTATTTACATGATATTTAGAAAGTCTTTTGAGCCATTGAATGGAAAAGCTTTAGAGTGGAGTTTGACTTTATAAGTTATCTCATTCACCTCATCATCTTCTTGAGGGAAGCCTTAAGTAAGAACTTCTCTTAGTGGTGCAAAATGAATTATGTTCAATCAAGAACCGACAAGTGCCCAGGAGATTGCTGTAAATGGCACCATTGGCAAGTATTTACCCATGACCTTCTCATACTCCATGGTTTTATTTCTCTAGTCAGTATATCAATCTGTAGCAACCCCTGGGGACATCCCTGGTTATTGGGATGTGCATGTGTAGAGGAAAAATGGAAGGTACAAAGTGTGATTTCTAAAAGAGAAAAAGAAAGAGAAAGGTAAAAATTTTTAATGGTTCTTGTTTTGGGATGGGAAAACCAAAGGCTGAATGAAATGTCTTTCTGTGACATTTGATGGAATAAAGCATGGACTATATGCTTCCTATTAGGATCTGGTGACTTCTTGTTAGCCCGAGGTGCTAGTGAAGAGAACATTAAGATGCTCTGTAGTTTCCATTTCAGTTTCCCTGTATGTCATGGATTAGTTAGAATCTACTGTTAGGTGGTAGTGAGAAGCAGATTTAGCACTGAGGAAAAGCTTTTATTGAGGAACAAGGAGTTCTGTGGTTGATGCACTAACGAAGATGTCTTGCCTGTCTTTGAAATGAAGGAAGAGTCTATTGTTACACCAGGTACCTTAGTATGGGGAAAGATTATGCAGATGGGAGCTGGAGAATGATCCCCTTTCTAATGTATCTGAGGCCTGTAGAGGTGAGAGATGGCTCTGATGATGCCTTGGCCCAGGCAAACCGTGAAGATGGAACTATAAGGAAAGGTGTGGTAGATGCCCGGTTAAAGCACAGAGTCTTTTTTTCTTTTTCTCTTCTAAAACACTTAACTGGCTGTAGTAATCATTTTCCTTGTTGCTGTAACTATGTATCTGGCAAGAAGTAACTTAAGGAATGGTTTATTTTTGCTTATAGTTTGAGGGTACAATCCATCATGGTGGTAAAGGCATGGTGACAAGCTCATGAAGCAACTGGTCAGTTTGCATCTGCAATTCAGGTTCATGGGATGGTACCCCCTGTAGGGTAGGTTGTACCACATCCATCAATCTAATCTAGAAACTCCCTAATAGACGTGCACAGGGACAGGGGTGTGTGCAGATGCACATGGAATGACAACTTCAGGTGTCATTCCTCAGAAGATGTCTACTTGGTTTTTTGAGACAGGGTCTCTCACTGGCCTGGAGATTGCTGAGAAGATGAGACTGTCTGGCCAGTAAGCTCCAGAGATTTACCTGTCTTTTCATCCCCAACTCTGGGATTACAAATGCACACTACCATAACTGCCTTCTCTTTATGTGGGTTCAATGGCCTGAACTTATGTTTGAGAGGCAAATGTTTTACTAACTGAGCTATGTCCCCATTCTGCTATTGCCAGGAGCCATCCCTGGTGGTGGACAGGTCCCAGCAGAGGATGTAAGGAGTTGGCGAGGGAAGGAGGTGAGCCAGGCCATGGTGGTGGTGAGAATCTTGCAGCCTGACTGACTAGCAGCCAGAGTGCCTCTTTGTTTATACAGAATTTAGTAAGCTGGTATAGATTCATGTTGGTCCAAAACATAGGTCATATCATTTTTGTTTTTTTGGACATGTGTTTCATTTCCTCTTGTTCATATTTTTGGTTGTGAGCCTTTAACAACTGAGCCATCAGAGAGCGAGATCCATTCTAGCCTGTTCCCGCCATGCTCTGTATCAACCCAAGATTGGATGGAACCGCAGAGAACCAAACAGCCGCCACCCGCCTCGCTCAAGCTGAACAAGGTAACCGTTCAACAAGGGGAGATGGCACAGAATCTGATGGGAACAGCAAAAGTCATAAAGCAAGAAGCACTCTGGCTGCTAGTCAGTCAGGCTGCAAGATTCTCACCGCCATCATGGCCCAGCTCACCTCCTCCCCTCGCCAACTCCTTACATCCTCTGCTGGGACCTGTCCACCACCATGGATGGCTCCTAGCCATCTGGTGCCCAACGTGGGGTCCTGGTCTCTGGGAACTCACCTCCCAACTCGGGGAGGGCCCAGTTAGGGCCGCAGAAGGCCCCAGTCTCAGACCTTCCCAGGAGCCCTGGAGTGATGAGCATTCAGCCTCCTACTCTTAATTTTTTGAGGGATTTCTATACTGTTTTCTACCATGGCTTTGGGAGAAAGAGCATTGGGAAGAGCAGTTCATCCACTCTAAACTATTTGTCCTTGAACCTTGCTGTCCCTACGTACAACTTCCCTAGAATGTTGGATGATAGCTAATGGCTTGGAGAGAAGGTTGCCTTCCCATTCAGAGTATCAGTGTGGTTATGGAGTTCCTTTTCTGGTAGTAGGGTAGCAGTACCAACAATGTTGTTTTCAAATTGCCATAGCTCCAATTCTAGTGTAAATCATGGAACTCTGGATGGGTTTCTCTTATCACTAGATTGACCCAATGACCTCAGAGGACATTGTGACATGGGCATGGAGTTATGGAGTGAGACTTGGACAAAATTTGTGGAGGTTGGCCCTGTGGATGGGAGTCTCTGTGTGTGCGTGCACATGTCAGTGGATGGATGCAAGACACAGAAAGAGCACACTGAGCTCAAACCTTGCCCAACTTACGACACTAAACTTCCTAAATCATCATGGAAAATCCACGGGATATCTGTCAGGAGAGCAGGGTGCAGATTGCCAAGAGAGAGCACAAAGCTCCATTTTCTTTCCACAATACCTGTAATGAACTGGAAGGGCTGGGTGGAGCTGAAAAGCAGATTTCCTGCCTTCACTAAAGTTCCTTTTCAGTCTGGTTTGCCACAGTTTTACAATGTGTTAGAATTTACATTCACGTGTGTGTTAACCATTCTTCACTGCATTGAAAGGTTTTTATATGTCTGACCTCAACCTTTGCCATATGGTGTCACAAACTGTGGAACTGCAGACAGTGGGAGGCAGAGGTGGTGGGTGGGGGCAGGCCTCAACGGGGCACATAGGAATTCTGCCTCGATTCTGGGGAGGTCGTTCCCACAAAGTCCATTGAAAGGCAGAAAAAGCCTTGTGTGTTAGGCTGCTAAGTTCTGGGTCATGATTGGTGTTAATTTTCATTAGCGATGTTAGGGGAATTTGTGGGTCACTTGCTGCAGATGTTAGACATATAATTTGACATTTCTTCAGGACCAGAAACGGCCACTATCTGAGCTCTCAAAGGATAGGAACTGTGACTAGCTTGGCTCAGGACAGCACCTACTGCATTCTAGGGCTTCCTGCAATACAGAATTTCTACAACAAGGAAAGGAAGTGTCTCAAGGCCGGTGCCAACTCTGCCTGTTTTGAGGTGGAATGGCAGAAGAGTTAGAAGGATTAGTTTCTTAAAAGTTAATCAGACTTAGTTGTCCTTATATAGGACAAATTTTGAAAATAAAATATTTCCCTGAGTATGAACTACTCATGAGGAAAGACAGAATTAGTTGTTTGACTGTTTGAGGCCTGGGATGAAGTGCTTTTGGATGAATCTTAGTCTTATTGGTTCATTAGAGGGACTGCTGGGGGAGGTACAGGCTAATGCCAATGTGGGTGTCCTATCAGTGATGTACCCAAGAGGGCCATACATTCTGGGGCCATTATATACATTTCTCTCCTCCCCAGATCTGTCTCTTCCTGTACAGGGACACAATCAAACTGTCACACCAGATTGTATCTTCTTCCCAAGGTCTCCCACGAGAGACAGACACAGACCCAGCATAGCATTTCATTATCTTGTCTTTCTCACTGATATTTATTGTCTTGGGCCTCCTTATGTGTAGGGCAGTCTCCACCTATTTATTAGTGCTGAGGGTTTAGACTAATCTGTAACCCGAGAGAGGTCGCTTCCAGTCTCAGTGACTGCAGATCTCAGTGGCCTTTGTTCATTCAAGTGTATAATACATGCTTAGTATACGCTAGGTACCAATGTCTGGCAGTGATGGAGGTGGACCAGGAACCCCCAATTTTATACTTGGGTACTATGCCATGGCTTTCTCTGGTTTGATCAAAGTAGATACCATCTTTATTTCTGGAGCAGAGCATTTCCGATACATTTTGAATGAGAAGTATGTCTTCCCCTGTGTTCTTCAGGAGGTGCTCATTAATCATCTAACAGCAAATCCAAGTTGTATGCCTACAGCGTGCAAGGCCTTATGGTTGTGGAAGCATCTGATTCTGTCATCTGTGGTCCATAAAGAGGAGAGGAGACATCTACCACCTGACCTCTGATGACTGACAGTTTTCAAAAGAAGCTCCCCAGATGACAGTGGAGCTCAGGGGCCAGGATGTGCTCACATTTCAGTTCCATAAATACGTAAGTTAATCCAAACTCCGTTCTCCTTCCATCTTGCCTCAACATGCTCACTCACTCTGGCTTGGCTGTAGTGAACACAACTCTCATGGCCTCCAATCTGGAATCCATCTTCTTGTGTGGAATGCTCATTAGCTCCCAGCAGGAGCATGGCCTGTGGCTGTTTTTTCTTTCTTTCTTTTCTGTAGTTTTTTTTTTCCCCTCTGCAAACCTCTTTTTTTTTTCCCCTTAATTGATCAATTTTCCTGTTCAGAAACAGACATAATCAGATATATCGCTTGGTAGCCTTTTTGAGAAGGCATTGGCTCTGTCTGCTTTAGACATGCATTAGATTGGACACCCTGAGGGGTGCTTTCCTTTTCAAGAAAAATTAAATGACTAAGTAAGAGGGTGCTAAAACACACTTGCATTACTGCTTGGCATTTAATTGAGAAACTTGCTAATGTGTCCTTTGAACCCCCCCCCCTTGCTTTCCCCTTCCCCGAGGAACTGCTGATGCTTTGCTTTAATGGCAGCATAAAAATCTCAGTGTGACTCCGGGTGGCAAGGCTTTGGGCTCTCAGAATGCAAATTGTGGTTTTCACTGCATTCATTGGTCTAGTGATCCCGACAGCATCACATCCAAGTAACTGACTCTTAAAGAAAGTTTCTCATTTGGAAGGTTTCTCAGCTCTGAGGATCTCAAAGTATCCGTTTGGCTGCTGGTATTCACAGCTCTGGTGCTTCATGAGGCTGATATGTAAGGAAACTCAGCTGCAGGTGACAGACAGCTGGAAATTTCTCTCCCTGGATAGAGATTCCTAGTAGTGGGAGTCAACAGGCTTAGGAGCAAGGCAGACCCTGTCCTGAATCTGCCCACTGTCCCCAGCTTCATGGTTCAAGCCTCAATTTTTGCACTTATAAAATGTAAGTAGTAGGCATAGTTCTCAGTTCATAACTCTTTTTTTTTGGTGTGTGTGGTGGGGAGAGGAAACCCTCTGCTGGTGTTCTTCAGAGACCATCCATCTTTCTTTTGAGCCAGGACCTCTCCTTGGTCTAAAATATATGAAGCAGGCTAAGTTGGAGCCACAGGAATCCTCTGTACTCTTTACCACTGAGATACCTGTCTGGCCACCCAACTTCCCCCTCCCCCCGGATTTAAAAATTATAATTAAGAAAATTATATACAATTTATTAATTTTTATATAATATCTTTCAGTGTGAGCTTGCATGTATGTATATAGGCCTGTATATGTCAGGTACCCGAAGAGGTCAGAAGAGAGCATTGAATTCCCTAGAACTGGAGTTATAGATGGTTGTGAGCCCGTGATGAAGGTGCTAGGAGCAGAACACTGGTCCTCTGCAAAAGCAACAAGTGCTCTCAGCCTCTGAGCTGTCCTCCAGCTCCTTAATTATAATTTTGCTTAAATGTTTTCTTTGACAAGTGTGTGTGTGTGTGTGTGTGTGTGTGTCCTGGTTACTCTTACCTTCCCGCCCCCCCATCTATCTACCCTCCACTTCTATCCTTCCCTACAAGTTCTTTACAACATTCCTGTCTTTTTGTTATGTTGTGTGAACCACTGAGTTTAACCAGAATCATCTGTGTGACATGGGTTTAGAACTGTCCATTGCAGCCTTGTGGGCTCCTCTGTGGACAATAAGTACTTTTCTCCAAGAATCCACTAGGTTTTTGTTTTTTAGACATGAGTTCTGGGAGAGCATGTTACCAACTGAGCTACCTCTTAAGCCCCTACCGCAGTTTATAATGAATTTGAACAAACATATTGTGGTGGTAATCTAATTGTATTGAAATATTAT